GCACACACACGCATACGTGCCCGGCGTGAGTTTAAGCCACCAGGTCTGGGACTCGAACCACAGTAGACTACATGGGAGCCCAGCAACATAGCCATTACGCTAACTGCTGGTCCCAGGGTACATACAATCTTATATCCTCCCCCTCCTCCCCCTTCCATGTACAGAGTAACAGAAGGTTTCCCCCACCCATTTATTAACTCTTCGCAAACATCTGTTTTTATACGTAGAAATAACCCAGTGTGTGGATATTCCTTGGGTCACCTCGCCTTTTCCCCTTTCATTGGACACTGGTTTCCTGGAGGTCACCATTGCATCTTCGAACAGGGTGGGGCAAGGAGAAGGGAGAAGGCAAACCATGAAGCAGAGCGGGGATCGGGCCCTCTGGCACCTGAAATTCTCTCACGGAGGCCTGCTGAGTCCTGCCGGGTCACCGGCTGAGTTTTCCAAGATGTGAGGACAAGGAACAGCCAGCCAGGCAGACCTCATGGCTTCCCCCATGCACGCAGCCGTCCAGGTTTGGGGCCAGGAGGAAATGGAATTGGAGAGGAGTGGGGCGAGGGATGGCGGGAGGTGCCAGGCATGTGACTCCGAACAGTGTACAGCTTAAACACACGTTGCAACAGCCATGTTTGCAGCGGCAACAAGGCCTTTCACCTGCCTGTTTCCCCCATAATATGAATCCTTTGGGTACCCCATGCTTCCTGCAGGGGCATGGCCTCAGGGCACTTAGCCACGGGTAGAGGATCTGAGGACCCATGTCCTTGTCACCAAGGCCAGTGGGACAGGGTCCCTGTTAACTATATGAAGAAGGAGCAAGCCACCTGCTCACCCACCCAGCAGAGACTGGGTAACCACTTGGTGGCAATATTTTCCAGGGAATTCCTGCCCTGGGTGGAGGCCACTTGCTCTGGGAGGCTGAAGTCCTTTCAACTTTGAGGGTCGGTAGTCATTCAGGTCCTACCGTGAGCCAGGGACTGAGACATCACCTCCGCTGGCGGAGGTGCCAAACCCTGGCTTCCTGGGCATATCCCACCTAATGTCACACAGGTCAAAGAGCAAAGTCCTCATCCCACCTGGAAGAGGAGACCCCTACAGGGACAGAGCCTGCAGCTGGGGTGATTGGTAGAGAACCCCATATGCTAGCATCTTAGCATTGTAGCATTTGCATGTCACAGAGTATTTTTAAATATATGTATTTCAAAGGTTGTTTTGTTCATTTTCATTATTGGTATTATTTTTTAAATTTGCTAGAAGATGTATATGCCCACCAGAGAGAGAAAGAAAGAGAACAGGAGGAAGCACTCCCCCTACCCCCATAGGGAATAGACGCACAACAATCCCTTCTCCATATCTCCCTCCTTTTGGGATTTTGGGCATGCACACTCATGGCCCCTGTGTGTTTTTTCAAGCCACTGGGAGTGGGTCTCAAAATACACAGTTAGCCATGTGGGACCCAGCCATCTTAACCACCAGGTCACCAGCTGACCCCAAAGTTTTTTATTTTTTTTCTTTTTTCTGTGACTGAGAGAGATGGGCAGGCAAATCCTTCAACCAGCTACGGATCATGGGCACACGCGCTCTCTGAGTACTCAGGGAGGGCTCCAGCTTGAACTGAGAACCTCCCACGAGGGTCAGCCTTGAAGAGCATCACCTTTTACTGCCACTCCCCTGTCTGGCTCCACACAGATTTTAACTTAAAGAAAGGGTCTTCAGTGGTGGCTTCCAGGGCTGGCAGGTAGCGTGGTGGTTAAAGGCTCTGGACTCCCACATGACCAACCATGGTTTGAGTCCTGGACCTGGCAGCTTGCTTTCTTGCTTTCTCTTTCTCTGTCTGTCTGTCTGTCTGTATCCAGTTAAATTAAAAAATAGTAATAACGAATGAAATTAAATAAATAATTTTTTTAAAAATGGTGGCCTCCAGGCACCAGATGGTACCTGGCTGTGGTGAGGAGTTTAGGTAAGGGCCTAGGAGCCATCTGTTTGGACGAGAAGGGTGACAAGGTCTTATTTGTGTTTGTGGGATTTGTTTCTGATGTACAATAACCACCGCTAGGACTTCCAGCTAGAACTAGAGCAGGCATAGTGCCAGGGCCTGCTGCCCTCTGGGCAGGTATAAGAGCCAGGGGTGGGGCAGAGGTGTGGGTTCCGATGGCTTGGAGCCAGCGGCTCGGCGTGCCCTCTCTCTGGGGAATCAGGGCAGTACGCTAAGGAAACGCTCCCAGGACCAGCTGGAGGAGATCGCCGGGGGCCCAGAGCTTGGCAGGGTGAGTATTTTCTCCCACGGCTCCCACCTTTCCTTCCCCCACTGAGCTGCCCACTCTGGGCATGACCATGTGGCTGCCTTGTCCCAGAGGTGCCCAGGTAAAGGTTGAGTGACTTCAAGCTCTGGATCTTTCCAACACGCAGCATGGGAAGATAGCAATGAGCACTGCGGGTTAGCTCACGGACTAACCAAGAACCAGGTGCTGAGTATGGTTCGTACTGGACTTGGTGGCGTGCTTTCTCATCCCCCCATCTGTGTGTCTTTCTCTGGTCAAATTAAAATAAATGAATAAATTTTAAAAATAATTTTTAAAAAAGGGACCAGCAGTTGGCACAATGGCTATGTCGCTGGACTCCCACGTAGTCGACCGCGGTTCGCGTCCCAGACCTGGTGGCTTAAAACTCACGCCGGGCGCGTGTGCGTGCGTGCCCAAGATCCCAGGAGGAGAATGGAGGAGAAGGGATTGCTGTGTGGCCATCCCCCTGGGGCGTGATTTCTTGCTTTCTGTCTCTCTGTCTCTTTTTGTCTTTCTGATGAACGCACGCGCCCTATAGCAAAAACCTCTCAAAAAACAAACAAACAAAAAAGCCTTTGGGTCCGAGACTCAAACTACTAGGTTGGCCATGTGGGATTCAGCCACCTTACCCATCATGCCACTAGCTGATCCTTTTTTTATTTTTAAATTATTTTATTTAACTTTATTGATTATTATTATTATTTTACAATTTGATCAGAGAAAGAGAGAAGGAAAATGAGAAAGCAAGCCACCAGGTCTGGGACTTGAACCGTGGTCAGCCATGTGGGAGTCTAGTGCCTTTAACCACCTTTGGCTCCCCTCCTGTATTTTTCATTCTTTTCAGGGTTTTTTACATTTTATACCATATATATATATATATATATAT